GGGGGGGGGGCGGAGGATGAAAGCATGTGGAGTTATGTCTTGATCTAGAGGTGCGCGAAGCATTCCAGAGCTTCGGCGAGGCTGCGTTTGGCGACTGCGAGGCTAGCGCCCGCTCGGCAGCCGCCCTTAATTTAGGCAGCCGCCAAGACCGCGGTCCTCCAAACGCGGCGCCGACCTTCAGTCCGACGAGGCGGCCTAGAGGCCGTCGAAGGAGGTCGCGGCGGCTTTGCCATCTGGGCCAATCACAGAGGTTTCGATAGGCTGCCGCGCAGGCGCACCCGAAACACAGATGACTCCAGACGCGTTTTTGCTGCAAGGGGTAAGACGGCAAGACTGTCGGGATCAACCGGCGCAACATGGCGCTGAGAAGGGCATCCGCGACACGGGCGCCGGGCCTTTGGGGGCGGTCGTTGGGACAGCGAAGCCGTCGTCGCAGTGCGCGCTGTCCTCGGTGGCCCCGCGTCGCCCAGGCCGGGTGCGCGCCGCCGCGGGCGCGGGGAAGGCGTTCTGGCAAGGCGCGACTTGTGCCGAGATGCAAGAACCAGGTGAATCACCCCGCGGGGCGAATGTCACCCTGCCCCCGGGCAGCGCGGCAATCCTCAGGCAGGCGCCTGGCCGCGGGGGCTTCGACAGGCGCGCCGAGCGCCTGCGCTGCGTCGCGCCAGGCTTTCGTCGGGCCTGTCCCTCTACAGGGGGAATCTTCAAAAACGGATGAAAAATTGTCGGGGGGCGATTTTTTCGATTACTTTTTGATGGTGTATTTCCCCACATGTCTCGTGGGGTTCTGGTTTTCTTCCCTGCCGCGCCGCGCCCGCGTCTCACGCACCTCCCGCCTCCTCACTCGCACACTCGCGCACAGCCGCGCGCATGCACACATTCGCACATGCAAGACGCATGTTCACTGCATCATACACCCAAGACGTCTGCACGACATACTGGGCAACACGTGAGATATGCCCCGATATGGCCGCACACGCATCACACACATACGCACGGCAAGCCATGCGGCAGGCGAGCAGGCGTGGCACTTCCTCGACACCATAGGGGGTGCGCAGGGGGTGGTCTCTCACCGCGGCCGCTATGCACGACAGTTGTCCAGGCACAGCAGGCGTGGCACTTTCTCGACACCACAGGGGGTGCTCAGGGGGTGGCCCCTCAGCCGGGCCTCTATCCGTGACACGCTCGCAGGGCGTGGCAGGCGCGGCACTTTCTCGACACCACTGGGGGGGCGCAGAGGGTGGTCCCTCAGCGGGGCCTCTATCCGTGACACGCTCGCAGGGCGTGGCAGGCGCGGCACATTCTCGACATCGCATGGGGGTGCGCAGAGGGTGGTCCCTCAGTGCGGCCTCTATCCGCGACACGCTCGCAGAGCGTGGCAGGCGCGGCACTTTCTCGACGCCACTGGGGGGGCGCAGAGGGTGGTCCCTCAGCGGGCCTCTATCCGTGACACGCTCGCAGGGCGTGGCAGGCGCGGCGCATTCTCGACACCGCATGGGGGTGCGCAGAGGGTGGTCCCTCAGTGCGGCCTCTATCCGTGACACGCTCGCAGAGCGTGGCAGGCGCGGCACTTTCTCGACGCCGCTGGGGGGGCGCAGGGGTTGGTCCCTCAGTGCGGCCTGTGTCCGTGACAAGCTCGCAGAGCGTGGCAGGCGCGGAACATTTTCGACACCACTGGGGGGGCGCAGGGGGTGGTCCCTCAGCGCGGCGTCTACCCGTGACACGTTCGCAGGTTCAAGCAATATGGCGTTGGATGACACATAGGGGAACATTCGCGACGAGGGCTGAGAACACAGAATTGCGCATATATTATAAACTTAAGCAAACACACAAGATTTAAGTTAAGTATGTGGGGTTCCTCGGTAGCGTATTTTTTTGGTTTGTGTATGTTTGCTCATTCGTCCCAAATCCTCCAGTAGGAGGACGTGCCCGACCTGGCGCCGGGCGCGGGCTGCAAGGACTCCCCGAGCCTTCCCCGTGAAGCTCGCCCGCGTCGCGCGCGCGCCGGAGCGCGGCGCCAAACCCGCCGGGTGGGTTCCAGAGCTCGAGGTCAAGCATGAGACGTCTGGTGCTTGCGGGGCCAGCGGCCCAGAGCTAGTGATCGCTGACGCAAGGTGCACGTCGACTAGCTGATCCGCCGCGTCGAGAGCGTCTTCGGCAACGCGAAGGGCGACTACGACAATTTCTACGACAATTTCATCAACTGCAAAGGGCACCAGCACCGCAGTGCCGACGGCGCTGTGGCGCCCGACCGAGACGTGTACGTCGGCGCTCTGATGCCGATCAGGCGCGCCGACCCGGCCGTAGCCAGGGGTGGCGAGCCCGTCGCGTAGTGTAGCTCAACCGTCGCGTAGTGCAGCTCAACCGAGTCGCACTTGCCACGTGGGAGATCCAGGCGCGCATCGCACTCCCAGCCATGAAGTGCGCCAATAGATTCAGCGTGCACGGCGACGGGTGGTTCAAGAGGGAGGGGGAGACAGCGCGCGGCATAAGAGGAGCTGTATACATGCGCCTCGGCAACTTACACCGCTCCGGCAGGGGGGTTTGCCACTTCTTGGGCGCAGTGGGCTGATCGCACAAGCTCGCGTGCAGATCCTCATTCGGCCCAGAGGTGCGCGCAGTGTGCGGTGCAGCCAACGGGCTGCGCGCGCACCTGCGCGCGCTGCGCGAGACGGCGCGTGGCCCCGCCTCTGCCGAGGACATCAGTGGGCTGAGGGGTCCAGAGATTGCCCGATTCCTTCGGGTCTCGTCGCGTCCGTCTTCAGTGCGTCTTCAGTGCCCTGCTAAGGGATCCGGCGCGGCCGCCCGCCGAGGACAGCATGGGGGGCCACCTGTGGTGGCTAATTAGCCGACCAGCTGCGCGCCGAGCAAATCGAGGACCCAATCTGAGCCAACTTGGCGCGACGCTCGGGACATGCGGCCCGACGCCATGGCCGAGGGCAGCACGGGCCGAGAGGTCATCCGAATTGTGATGGAAGGCCAGATCAGCTACGACCATGATACGGTCAAGTTCAGCGACGAGAAGCAGAACAAGGCCGCCCCGAGTTCCCAGCGCAGCTCTCTCGCTCGTGAGCGAGAGGGCGACTCTAGTGACTGTGTCACAAGATCGACAAGCTTGCGGGCATTGCCAGGCGAGGGCAATGAGGACGTCGGGCATGCACGCGAGTGTTGCCCCAACTAACTGCATTAGTTGAGCAGCAGCAGCAGCAGCAGCCGTTTAGCTGGGTTCACCAATATTTTTACGCTCGCAGCAAACTGGCAAGTTTCATGAGGAGCGCGGTCAGTAGAGCAGCCCCTGCAGCAGACAACTTTTCGGTCGTTGGAGCACCCCCTTGGCACTTCTCAGCGCCATCGAGTGCACGACGGGCTTGTTTGAGCACCAAACTCGAATGGATCCTTCCTGCCTCTTCTCACCCCTGCCGGCTGGCGCCTCTTGCAGCCTTCCCAGGCACCGCGCCTGGTCTTAGTCTTGCTGTACACGCTGGTGTGCACCCGCTATCAGAAAAGACCCGCGCTGTTAACTCTCTCACATCCCATGTCTCCTCCTTTTCCTAATCCCCCTCCTCCTCTTCCTCCTCCTCCTCCCTTCCCTTTCGCCCTCCCTCCCTCCGTCTCTTCCCTCCTTTCCTTCCTCCTTCATGTCCTCCGTCCTCCTCCTCCTCTTCCTCGTTGTCCTGCTCCTCCTCCGCGTCGTTCTCCTCCCCTTCCTCTTCCTCGTCGTCCTCCTCCTCGTTCTCGTCATCCTCGTCGTCCGCCTCCTCCTCCTCCTCCTCCTCCTTGTCGTCTTCCTCCTCCTCCTCCTCCTAATCATCCTCCTTTTTCTCCTCTTCCTCCTCCCCCTCTTCCTCCTCTTCCATCTCCTCGTTCGCATCCTCCTTTTTCTCCTCCTCCTCCTCCTCTTCTTCTCTCCGTCTTTTCTCGTACTTCTCCGAGTTGTTCCCCTCCTCCTTCCTTCTCCCTCGTTCTCTTATCCGTCGTCCTCATCCTCCTCCTCCCCCTTCTCCTGCTCCTCCTCATCCTGCTCCTCGTCCTCCTCCTCTTCCTCGTCCTCCTCCTCCTCCTGCTCCTCCGCTTCCTCTCCCTCCTCCTCCCTTCCTCCCCTCCTCCTCCTCCTCCTCCTCCTCCTCCTCCTCCTCCTCCTCCCCCTCCTTTTTACCCTCCTCATGTTTCTCCTCCTCTTCTTCCTCCTCCTCCGGGTTCTTCCTCGTCCTCCTCCTCCTCCCGTCCCTTTTCCTCCCTCCCTCCTCCGTCTCCTTCCTCCCTCTCTTCCTCATTCCTGTTTTTGCTCATGTTCCTCCTCCTCCTCCTCTTTCTCCTCCTCCTCCTCCTCCTCCTCCTCCTCGTCCTTCTCCTCCCTTCCCCCTCCTCCTCCTCCTCCTCTCCTCCTCCTCCTCCTCCCTCCACCTCCTCCTCCTCCTCCTCCTCCTCCTCCTCCTCCTCTCATATGCCTCAGATTCCTCCTATTCCTCCTCCTCCTCCTCCTCCCCCTCCTCCTCTCCTCCTCCTCCTCCTCTCTCCCCGACTTTATTCTCATACTCCTCCCAGTTGTCCCCCTCCTCCTACCCCCCGTCCTCCTCAGCTTCCTCCTCCTCCTCCTCCGCCTCCTCCTCCTCCTCCTGCTCCTTCTCCTTCTCCTCTTCCTCCTCCTCCTCCTCCTCCTACTCGTCGTCCCATCCTCATCTTCCTGCTCCTCCTCCTTCTTCTTCTCCCCTCCTCCTCCTCCTCCTCCCCCTCCTCCTCATATTCCTCCTCTTCTTCCTCTCCCCTCCTCCTCCTCCTCCCGCCTCCTCCTCCTCCTCTCTCCCCGACTTTGTTTTCATACCCCTCCCAGTTGTCCCCTCTCCTCCTACCCCCCGTCCTCCTCAGCTTCCTCCTCCTCCTCCTCCTCCTACTACTCGTCGTCCTCATCCTCATCTTCCTGCTCCTCCTGCTGCTGCTCCTCCTCCTCATCATCATCATCCTCCTCTTCCTCCTCATCGTCATCCTCCTCCTCCTGGCCTCAGGCGCCTGTGCGACAACGGCTCCACCAACGGCACGTGGCAGCGGCTCTCCTGTGTGCTGCAGCCTTCCGCACCCGTTCCCCTGCGCCCGGGCACATCGGCGCCCCGACGAGAGGGGGGGAACGAATCAGGAATCGTCCATGCCCGCCCCTCACCTCCATGTCCTACTCCCTCTTCCCATCCTCCTCTGGCTTGGGGAACAAAGCAGGCTTGGTGGACTCAGTCTTCTACCCCCATCGCTGTTCTTGGTATTAGTCCTTCATCCTTGTCGTCCTTATCCTTCTTTCGCTTCGTACCCTCCTCCTCTCCTCCTCCTCCTCGTCCTCCTCCCTGTCCTCCTCCTCCTCCTCCTCCTCCTCATCCTCCTCCTCCTCCTCCTCCTCATCATCATCATCAGCATCAGCATCAGCATCAGCATCATCATCATCATCATCATAATCATAATCATAATCATCATCATCATCATCATCATCATCATCATCATCATCATCATAATCATCATCATCATCATCATCATCATCATCATCATCATATCATCAACATCATCATCCCCCTCTTCCTCCTTCACCTCCTCCGCCTTCGCATCCTCCTCTTCATGTTCCTTTGTCTCCTACTTTGCCGCCACTTCCTCCTAGCGGAGTGCCAGGATGTTGGGAACGACCCCGCACATCAACAACACAAGTATCCTGACGAGGGGCCCAACCATATGCAGTTGTGAGGATCGTCCTTGTGAACATCGCATTCGGGGAATCCCCTCATGAGATCACGAAGCGTGTGAAGAGTGTGGCGAGATGAGGCGGGGCCGCCATGCGGGTGAGGAGTGTGCCGAAATAGGGTGGCGGTGCCATGCGACCCCCCCCCCATTGGGGCCTTAGGTGGAGCTCCCTGTGGGGCGACGAAACGCGTGTGAGGAATGTGCCGAAACGAGGCGGCAGTGCCATGCGAACCCTCCCACTGGGGCCTCAGGTGGAGCTCCGTATGGGGCCACGAAGCGTGTGAGGGGTGTGCCGAAATGGGGCGGCGGTGCCATGCGAACCCTCTCACTGGGGCCTTCGTTGGGGCTCCCTATGGGGCCACGAAGCGTGTGAGGGGTGTGCCGAAATAGGGCGGCGGTGCCATTCGAACCCTCCCACTGGGGCCTTCGGTGGAGCTCCCTCAGCAGAAATCAGGATTGTAACAGTGGAAACTGGAAACTGCAACTCGTACAGGGAGCTGCACGCCTAATCTTCGCAGCCTGGTGGCCCCGCAAGGGGGCCGGCGGATACTCTTGTAGGACCCTATGAAGAGGGATGGTAGGGTGTAATGCAGCATCAATGATGCGCCTTGGGTTTTCACTGGTCCTCCCTCCTGGCCCTCAGCTGCTTTTCATTTCCCTCCTCCTGTACTTTCGCTGACTTCAAGTTTTTTTGTTGGTCACGCCTGGATGATAGTGCTATCGATCCGTCCTCCTCCAGGCCATGATTGTTCAGAAGTTGGTGCAGGGTCCAGGGCGGACCCCGCACTGGTCGGGTCTTGGCATTCCCAGGTGCTGGCAGGCACGCACGAGTTCATCGTCGAGGACTGGGAAGGGCCAAGAGGAGGAGACGGAGGAGGAGGAGGATTTAATCACGGGCGAAGAACGCCACAAAATCAGTTTGTTCCCCTTCGGCCGTGATGTTTATACCCATACGGTGGCGGGTGGCAGGGTGCAATTTTTCCTGCCGTTTTGGGACGCGTTCCTGACTGCGGAAAAACTCAGTTTAAACCATGATTCGCCGGCTAAGTTATGAGGATCAGGAGCGGCATCAGGAGGTGGAGGAGGAGGCTCATGATGACGAGGAGGCACCCCGCAAGCGCCATACCTACGACGGACCGTCTGGGTCGTTTTTACGCTGGTGAGTGTTTTTGTGGTGCTGCCAGGGTTCATGGGCACGCCAATCAGTTTTTCACATTGGTTTTGTAATCGGTGGGTCCCAGGGCACCCGCAGAGGCGTAAAGATAACCACTTCGCGCCTCGCTGCTTGGGCTGCTGAGGCGCCCTTCTACGGGGTGTGGTGGCACACATGTGCGTAGATTGTCGGGTCGTCGCCCAGGGCGCACTGCGCGAAGCAGGTCGGCCCAGATTCATTGGCGCACCGTTCATTCCTCGCACAGGTTCGGCATCGGTGGGTCTGAGTTAATGTTCATTTTTGCAGCTCAGGGCCAATTTCGATCCGGCCGATCCGTTCTGTTTACGGCTTCGGCTGGCTCCATCCGACTGGGTTCCGATGTCCCAGCGATCCGATGTGGCCCGATGCTTGCACTGCGCCGTTGTGCATCTTGGCGCAGCCGACCCGTTTTGATTCCTCGTCCGTGCCGATGCGGCCCAATGTTTCGCACGGCACAGCCCGATAAAAGATTTCCCGATCCGATGCTCGCCGATCCTGACCAGCTCAGTTCGGCTGTGCGTAAGAGTGGCCCTTCGCTGGAGTGATGTTTGGTGCACGGCTTTCGGTGGACGCGGCGGCCAAACCCAAGCACGCAGTCCGCTGCTGCCGTATCGCACGCCACGATCGGCAAGTTGCGCACGGAAGGTCACTACTGCCTGGGGTCATTTTTGCGTGCAGCCGATGTGGCTGGTCGGGCGAAGAAGAGCAGCAGCAGCAGCAGGATGAGGCGGAGGAGGAGGAGGCAAGGCCTCCTCCTCCTGGCTATAGGTCGATCCTAGGGTGGCTTCAGATCAGCTTCGAAGACGCCCCTTGAGGAGCTAGTAGTAGTAGTCCTCCTCCTCCCCCTCTTCCTCTTCCTCCTCCTCCTCCTCCTCCTCCCTCCTCCTCCTCCCTCCTCCTCCTCCTCCTCCCCCTTCTCCTCCTCCTCCTCCTCCTCCTCCTCCTCCTCCTCCTCCTCCTCCTCCTCCTCCTCCTCCTCCTCCTCTCGGCCCACGAAGGAGGCAGAGCTGACGCACTGGTGGCTGCCCTCGGCCGCGTGTGGCGTGCTCGCTGGGCTGCGGTAGCGCGAGCGGCAGCATGCCGTGCTTGGTTGAGGCCGGCCGCGGCTGGGCCGTGCTCGGAGGAGCCATGCGGCCACGAGGAGGAGGGCATGCCGGCGGTGCCGCTGCGGGTAGCAGGTCACTGTCCATCGTTTGGCGGCGCGCCGGGGGGTCGGGGGAGGGGGCGGCTGCTCAGGAGCACCCCCCTGCGCAGAAGGCGCGGGCCTTGTCTGTAGATATAAGGCTGGCGCCCTTCTAAGAAGCAGCATCCTTCTAAGAAGCCTTCCCCCCTCCCCCTGTCCCCCTCTGCGCGCCGTCAGGCGAAAGACGTACCCGTATCCATCGCTTTGCGGACCAGGCCCCTGGGCCGCGCCTCCGCGGGTACGAGGCGTTCTCTCGCGGATGCCACGCGCGGAGCGTATCCCTGGGACCGCGTCTCCACGCGTCGAGCCCCGGAATGCAGACCGCGAGGGCGCGGCGATGGATACGTCTTCTTCTTCCTCCTCCTCCTCCTCCCTCCTCCTCCTCCTCCCCCTCCTCCTCCTCCTCCTCCTCCTCCTCCTCCTCCTCGTCCTCTTCTTCCTCGTCTTCCTCCTGCTCCTCCTTTTCCTCCTCCTTCTCCTTCTCCTCCCCCTCCTCCTCCTCCTCCTCCTCCTCCTGCTCCTCCTTCTCTCCTGCTCCTTCTCCTCCTCCTCCTTCTCCTCCTCCTCCTCCAGGAGGAGGAGGAGGAGGGCAGAGCAGCCGCAGCCGGGGGAGCTGCCGTCCTCATATGTTTTTTTTTTCAGCGGGGGCCCGCCAGCCTCCAACGGGTCGTCGGTGCGGTGGGCTCCCCCTGTGGAGCGAGGAGGGCCACAGCTCTCCTCCTCCTCCTCCTCCTCCTCCTCCTCCTCCTCCTCCTCCTCTCCTCCTCCTCCTCCTCCCTCCTCCTCCTCCTCCTCCTCCTCCTCCTCCTCCTCCTCCTCCTCTCCTCCTCCTCCTCCTCTTCCTCCTCCTCCTTTCCTCCCTCCTCCTCCTCCTCTTCCTCCTCCCCCTCCCCCTCCTCCCTCCTCCTCCTCTCCTCCTCCTCCTCCTCCTCCTCCCACCCTCCTCCTCCTCCTCCTCCTTATCCTCCTCCTCCTTCTCCTCCTCCTCACCCTTCTTCTCCTCCTCCTCCTCCTCCTCCTCCCCCTCCTCCTCCCCTCCTCCTCCTCCCTCGTCCTCCTCCTCCCCCCTCCTCCTCCTCCTCTTCCTCCACCTCCTCCCCCCACCTTTTCCTTCCCCTCTTCCTCCTCCTCCTCCTCCTCCTCCTCTTCCTTCTCTTCCTCCTCCTCCTCCTCTTCCTCACCCTCCTCCTCCTCCTCCTCCTCCAGCCGCGCGGCCCAGGTGCCCGACGGTCTGCGGCTATTCGGCACGCGGCAGGCCCCCACTCCGTGCCAGCGCAGAGGCGGTCCGCCTCCGCCCGCTACCGTACTTGCTTGCACACTTCTCTTGTGATGGTTGTCTCTCGCCCCGCGACTGTTGCCTGGTGAGTGGTATGCGTTTCCTTTTGTTCGTGTGGCTACCCAGTCCCGTATTCTATGGGATGCGTATTCTGTGCTGAAGTCCGCTGTCGATCAGTGATCGAGATCGTGAGTTGGAGTTGCAGTATAAATTTGCGAAGATTGACATCATGATTCTCTTAGCTACACAACGTAGGGCTACACCGTCGTAGATCTTCCGAATTTTAGAGCCGCGCACTGTGGCGACGACGCGAAGGCCGCATACCCCAATCAATCCTGTGGATTCTCTATCTATAGTAAACAGACGGTCAGGGCGAGAGATGTGGTAAGAATATGGGCGACCCCCAAGGACATTAGAGGACGGGGCGCTGCGATCATAGTCAAATCTTATTATGGTGATGTGACGACGGTTGTTCTGTAGTACCCACCGCGTAGCCGTGACCCGCGAGAGCAGCTCATATTTCAGAGTACTATACATTCTGTTCATGACTTTTTCCGGTCTATCATGGCATGCGTACCTTCCATGTCTGCGCCGATAGTGGCGTCTGATGGCAACGATGGGCTGGGTTTCTGTGCTGGGGCTCGCGGACTATTGAGACTGGAGCCAGCAGCGATCGGGCACTACGGCAGAGGTGTGGAGCATCTCGCAGGATCATTGATGCGTGAATTCGCCGAGACACACTCCCTCGTGGCGGCGAACACCTTCCATCCATGTGGGCCCAATTATTTCGGATGCCCCCCAGCGTCGGAAAGATCTGGGGCTTCCGCCACCGGGGCCACTCCCTATGGGAAGACTTCTGGCGAGGTGCAGCATGCGTCGTACATTGATCATGTTTTTTTGGTTGCAGCGCTACTTCGAAATATACAGAAGTTTGCGCATCCCATGAAGTCCACCGCGCGTCTGCAGGTGATTCCTGACAGCCGGCCGCGTGACCGCATCCCCTTCCTGTTTCAGGTCGACTTGAGGTCTCAGTATCGCCCTGAGCCACCGTGCCCGAGATGGGGCTTTGTCGGCCTCGGGCAGGCCTTGCGGAGTGAACGTCGTGCTGATGAGTTTCGAAGAGAGGTTGAGGCTGGCATCCAGCAGTTGCCAGCGCAGAGAGGCATGTCCGCGGTCGAAGAGCTTGTGCAGTTCTAATTCGCTGGAGGAGACCTGGCGTGACCTGGTGGACTTGATTCGAGAGACGGGCTTCCAGTTTTTCGAGGCCACACCTAGGGCCTTGCCTGCTGCGTACACGCAACTTGTACGTGGGAGGATGCGGGCCCTGAAGGCCCGGAGTCAGGCCCGTGAGAGGCGCAATAACGGTGACTCTGGGGGCCCCATTGGAGCTGCGCTGGCCCCTGCGAGGGCCGCTGAAGTGCGCAGGCAATTCCGCAAGCAGCTTCAAGAACAACGGAAGGCGCAACTGACGGAGGAGTTCGCGGAGGCGCAGGCCAGAGGTATTGCTTCGGAGGAGTGGAGGATTGGCAGATTGCTTGCTGGTGCTGGGGTGGGGCCTTGGAAGAGGAGGTATGGGCATATTGCTGCGCATGCACCGAGTATGTAGGAGTGGGTGGGAGATCTTGCCTCACCGTCGAGCAGAGGGGGGATGGGCGCGGTCGAGATCTACGAACATGACTTCATAGTGAGGGCAGCCAGGTACGATTCCAAGGATCTCCCGAAACGGCAGGAGGTGGGCCAGGGGGAGGGGGACTTCGAGAGGATTGCCCGAGGTTTTCGAACAGCTGCGCGCCGAAGGGCGTCAGTGCCGCGGGGTGTTCCGAACGAAGTTTGGTCTTCGCAACCGTCTGTGCGCCCTGGCGCGCCTCTGCGCCCTGCTGGACTCGGAGTTTCTGCGCCGCGCTGGCGTCGGCCAGCTTGTGTACTCGTGGGCGAAGAGGGTATTGACCAAGGTTCGACAACATCAACGCTTTGTCTCTCGGTGGAATGCCCCCTTCCCTTACCAGCTTTCTAAAGATAATCAGAAGACCAGAACGCAGTGCATGGGGTGGCTTCGCGGGCTCTGTTCCTTTGTCAAGGTGTGGGTCAAGACGGCGACGAGACGTGCGAGGACTGTTCCCTGCTACGACCTACGGCCATCTTTCACGACGATCTAGGGCGGGGGCGATGAGGGCGACGGCGGCGTGACGTGGAGGACGGCTCGAGGGCGTTTCTCGACGGTCGACGCGGAGCACGATATGCGTAATGCGTTCGGGTCTGTGAAGCATACCTCACTGGGCGTTGCGGTCGATAGGCTGCGCCCCCAGGAGGATGCGAACGTTTTGAAGCAGCGGCATCGGCGAGCCTGTTTTCGGGCATGTGCTGAGGGGGGGGGGCCGAGCTTGTTTGCTTTAGAAAATCCGAAGGGGAATTCCATGGGGGGCGCCAGTGCTGCTACTGCGTTCCAGGATGCGTTTGCCCCGCCAGTTCGTAGATGGCAAGAAGATCATCATATGCGTTATGGGAATCGATTGCAAGGCGTCTGCGCTATCACTGGCACTCGTTGCGACCTGAGCTTGCGGGTCTTCGCTGGTGATCTGGACAGAAGCCGCGTGGTGAAAGATTTGATTGCGGCCGCGAGGAGTGTTGAGACGTCGGGCCGCCTTCTGGACTCGGCCCCTTCTGTCCACGGGATCTTCCAGAGCGCTGGCAAAAAGGAATTGTTCCCGCATGTTTGCGGCCCTGGCCCACATGATCCTCGGGGCGCTGCTGTATTCCTGGGGTGCGTCTGCCTGTGGTGCCCTTCCCGGGGGCGCTGTTTTCCTCTTCGGGGTCGTGGGGCCGCGGGGTGGCTGCCAGGTGTGCGGCTACTGTGCGGGGCTGGGCGCAGATGAGACGTTTTTGGGCCCAGTGTACTCCCCGGGGGGGCTAAGAAGATGGCGTTCCGCAGCAATGTCATAAGGGGCAGCCGTGTCTGGTCTTGCTGCTCTTGTGCTGCCGCGGTCCCAGGTTGCCCGTCTGGAGTCAACGTGTCCACGCTGCCTTAACGTACTTCTCGGTGGGGTTGCCCAGATGATTGAGGTGATAGCAGACGACGGTACTGCGACCGCTGTCATACGTACGCCACCAGCGGGAGTTCTGTGAAGGCAGGCGGGCCTCGTTCCCATCTGGCTTGAACGACGGGTCCAACGTCTTCGGGGAGGGCAAAAGGTTGCTCGTAGTCCTGGCTGGCATGTCCAGCAAGTCACGGCCGTTTTCGGGGCCCTCGACCTCGAGCGTGAAACGCCGTCGGCCTTCTCGTGTTCCCGAGTATTCAGGTCAAACCCAGGGGCGCATCCAGGGGCACTCCGTGGGCTAAGCAGCTTGAAGCTGACTTCAGATTTATGCAATGTACTGAAGAGGGTGCGCAGGTTTCGGATTTTTTTGACGGAGAATATCTTGGTGTGTTTCGTGGTGATACTGAAGGTTTTTGTGCTTTTCAGGAACTGGATGTACAGCAGGTTCGAGCTGAATGGTTGTTGAGACGTGGGTGGGGTGGGGGGTGGGGGTGGGGGGTGGGGTGGGGTGGTGGGGGGGGTGGGGGGGGTGGGGTGGGGTGGGGTGGGTGTGTGTGTGGTGTGTGTGTGTGTGTGTGTGGGGGGGGGGGGGGGGTCGGCGCCTACTCCTGAACCAGGTGAGTTAGCTGATGGTGATTTTGCGCGTGCTCTTATTATGACTGAGGATGAGCTCTCATGTGATCGGCGCTTTTCTTCGAGGAAGGCGCTTCTCACGCGCCGGCGACAAGCGCGGGGGGGCGCGCGCGGGATCCCGTCCCTCGCCCCCAACGTCGTGCTCACGAATCAGTGCGTTGCGTGCTCGTCGACCCCTCAGTGCCGGGGTATTGCCGTTCGGCATATGGTGAATTCGTATAGGTTTGGACGGTGCCGCGTTGGTGTATCTAAGTATAACGCCCCCCATCGAGATGATTGAGGACTGAGCGTGCCCGTTGTGTCCACAGCAGTTTGAGAATCTCGAACCATTGCAGCAGCATCTCAGAGGACATCTACCGCTCCCGATCCCAGAGTTTGCGTGGCATGTTTGCAGCGCCCCCTCCACCTGCACCCGCTGCCGAGCAGCCCCCGCGGAGGCGGCGAGGCAGAGGGGAATGTGCCGACGAAGGCGAACCGAAGAAGGGGGCCCAACGTAACAAAACAACACACGCGCGGCCCCCGAGGAAGTGATCGAGGATCTAGAGGAGTTCGATTTGCCACAGACCAAGACAATCGCCCCAGCACCCGCGACATTAGTGCTGAACGTCACGATGCGCACGCGCCAGCAGGAGGCCATTCCCCTTGCCACCATGCTGGTGCCAGAGAATTTCGCAGCCTGTCTCGATGGCGCGCGCCCACGTGAAGGCGCGGGCCCAGACGGCCCTGACCTACGCATGAGGGGGGGGAGGGCGGGCTGGCGGCGACAGGTTCGATCTCGGTGGCGTGTCTCGTGGGTCTGTTCGGGGGCTGCGTGAGTGCAGGAAGTGGTGTGGGCAAGCTAAACGCGAGGAACCTCGCGGCGTGGATAGAAGAACTCAGAAAACTACAGATGCGACAAGTTGCGGAGGTGTTCCCACTGGTCAATGTACAGTTTGCCTTTCGGGACGGGGGGTGCAAAGTGCTAGTGCCCAAGGACGACTCGCTCAGAACGTTGATCGCTTGCTGCGAGCAGCTTGGCGCGAAGGTGAGGGACGGCGTCGCCCCCCATGAGTCGTTTCGAGAGGATTTTGCATACCTTCTTCCAGGGCGACGGCTTCGAGTAGATATGTCAGAAAGTGCTGATCGTGTACCTGAGGTGTGTGGTCTGGACACGCCAATGCATTCTCTGCTGTCACCCGCCGACAGCTTGACTTTCCGAAGGGGACAGTGAGACAGCGGCTGAGGCCTTCACGTCAAGTGCACAGGGCTGGTGTTCAGGGTGTCCGTTGTGCGGCGGGTACCTCGACGTGCTCTCCGACGGCGACTTCGGCCTTGTTCCTTGAGGCCCCCGCTGCCGCCGCTGCCAAGGCCGAGGCCCCCACCCGCCCCCTTCCATTGCCTCCTGAGTCTGCCTTGCCTGCTCCTCCCCCCCGAGGCGTGCTCGCGCAGTTGTCCGCCATTTTCAGAGCTTTGGATTTGGTGAGAGTCTTGCTGGGTCAGCTACACGTTTGCTCGGGTTTTCAGTGTGACGCTTTGTTTCGGTAGTTGTTTAGGGCTTCGATGCCTTGGGAACTCAGGGGCGGCCGGTGGACCCACACTCGCGGCATATATGCTTGTCCTAGGGCGTTGTGGTCCCAGAAACTCTCATTCATGCCCCGATAAGGTGTCTGGTCTTGTCCGCCTCCTCTTCTTCCTCCCCTTCTTCCTCCCCCTCCTCCTCCCCCATTCGTGTCGGGAGGAAGCGCAATTTATCGTCGACCCCCCAAAAGAAATGGGAACAGATGGGAAGGGGGGGGGAAAGACGACCGCCCAGAAACCATCGGAAAATATGGGGGCCCTCTGATTGTAGTGGCTTCCGGCCAGTGCCGCCGACCCGGGGCGCTCCGGACGATGATGACGATGATGATGATGATGATGATGATGATGATGATGATGGTGATGATGATGATGTTGATGCTGATGCTGATGCTGTTGATGATGATGATGATGATGATACTGATGGTGACGATGATGATGATGATGAGGAGGAGGAGGATGGGGGAAGAGGAGGAAGATGAGGAGGATGAGGGAGATGGTGGGGGTGGTGGTGGTGGTGATGATGGTGATGTGGATGATGGTGATGATGATGATGATGATGATGATGATGATGATGATTTTGTTGCTGATGATGATAATGCTGATGCTGATGATGATGATTTTGTTTTTGTTGTTGATGATGCTGATGATGATGATGATGAGGGGGGAGGGGGAGGTGGTGAGGGTGGTGGTGATGATGATGATGAAAATGATGATGGTGATGATGATGATGATGATGATGATGATGACGATGATCATGTTACGATGGTGATGGTGATAGTGATGGAGATGGTTATGATCCGCCCCCCCTCTCCTCTCTCTCTCTTTCCCCCCCCCCTCCTGCCCCCCCCTTCTCTCCTGTCCCCCCCCCTTTCTCCTCATCACCCCCACCCTTTTTCCCCGCCCTCTCTCTCCTTTCCCCCCCCCCTCTCTCCTGTCCCCCCCCCCTCTCTCTTGTCCCCCCACTCCTCCCCTTGCAGAGCGCCCGTCTGCCAAGCGGACCCTCGTTCCTTTCCCTGTAGCTCTCGCTCCCGCGTGAGAGGACCCCCCCCCCTTTGCAGAACGCCCCACCCCCCCCTCTTTCTGTCGCCTTCATCCTTGCAGAGCAAAGCTCCGGGGGGGGGAGCACTGAATTCGACAGTTAATGGGGTCCCCCCACCCCCGCCCAAGCAGAGCTAAAGCTCATGCTGAAGCAGAGCTTCAGTTTAGTCTTCTCCAACTCACACGCCGTACTTGTGTGTAATTCATTTGTGTGTCCCAGGGCCCCTTCATTGTGGCCGGTGGGAAAGACGCACCGATATTCGGGAGCCTTGAGACGTGGGTCAACGCAGACGAGGGTCAGTCAGAGCGCACAATCCTGCAGGATACTGCAGGGCCAGGGCCGCACTGGCCCCCGTCTGGGCGCAGGATCCTGCAGGATGTTTCGCATTGGCCCAAGTTTGGGCGCAGGATCTTGCAGGATGCAGGATTCTGCAAGGTCTGACTGACCCGGGTCTGGATTGACCCGGGTCAGTAGGTAAGTACATCCACGAGATATTCGAATAAGGAAACAGGGGGACAAACCCGAACCATGACATAAACATAACAATGCGGTGGTCCGTGCGGATTTCTCGGATGTGCGCCAGTGACACTTGGCGACGCCTCCGGCGCCACCCCTGGCGCGCCCCGCGCGCCAAGGAGGGGTGTCCAACGCCCGTCCGAGAAATCCCCGCGGACCTCCCAGTTTTTATGTTCGTGTCATGGTTTGTTTCCTCTGGAAAAGCGACATGATCATGAGCTTCAGAGGTCCGCGCGGGTCTCTCGTGTCGGCGCAGGACCCCCATCGGCCCTCGGGGGCGCCTCCAGTGCCGCCCTTGCCGCGCCCCGCGTGCCGGGGGGGGGGGGGGGGGCACGTAGACCCAGGAGGTCCGCGTGGACTTCCGAAAGTTTCGATTCATGCCCACGTCACTTGCTCTGGATACCGCTACCTTTGAATCGTTCTCGCCGTACTTTTGCCTCTGTCTCCTCCTTCCCCCCACCTCCTCCTCCTCGTCCCCCTCCTTCCCCTCCTCCTTCCCCCGCTCCTCCTCCTCCTCCTCCTTCTTCCCCTCCTCCTCGTTCCCACGGCTGGTTTTGCCTCTGTACCCTGTTCAGAATGCACCCCCGCAGAGGTCCGGGGCGTGGCGGTGTCGGTATCTATTGTTTCTCCCAAGGTGGTGCCGTGGGGCACCTGCCTCGCAGAAACAGACATCGTTTGAGGCAGCGTTGTCCGTGGAGCATCGGTGGTGCGCTCTGACGTGCTGGCTCTATGGGCTGAAGCTCAGCATGGAGCAAAGGGCGCCGTCTGAACTACTAGGTGCTTTCATGGCGTGGCCTCGTCGATTCAGCCAGAGTGCTTCCGGACGCACTCGTACGTTGCTGCCGCTCCTCATTTCTCCTCCCTTACGGTCAGGAACGGTTGCCACGCGTGTCGTGCCGCGGCCTCCCGTCGCGCGCAGCACAGCGGCACGCTGTCAGCTTCAACGCGTACTCCGGATTCCAAAATAAAGTGGGGGGTCACATTTTGGGGGGGGGGTCTGATTTGAGCTGTCTTGGAGGGTTCGCGGGGGTCTGGGCAAAGGGCCGCCCTTTCATGGATGGTCTGCGGGGATCTAAGACTTTTCGTCTGGGATGGTTGTGACCCCCTTCCTTTTATTACGAAATCTGGGGTACGGTCAATTAGCTGAAATCGGGTCCACTTTGGGTTCGGGATGGATTCTGGTGTTCGGGCTGCTCCTTAGATCTATGCCGGGGAACATATTCCTGAGCTGTTTGGGTTCTCGAGGTACTTGGGTATAATTTGATCCGATCGATGCGATTCGATATCGATTCCATCAAGCCCGATTCGAAAAGGGTCCGATATTCTGACGATCCGATGCGGCCTGATGATTGCGCGGAGTCGTGCATGCTCGCGTAGCGGATCCGATCCGGTTCCGACTGCGCGCCGATGCGTCTCGATCTGGCGCACGTTCCCATTTCTTCATTCGATGTTCACCGATCTCTGTTGCCCGGATTTTGCGGTGGAGCCCGCGCGTTTGCTGCCGAATCCCTCGTGGTGGAGCCGCCGAGGATAGGGCGCGCTTATCGAGTTCAATGCCAGCATCCCTACTGTGGCGCCTCTGCCATGCGAACAGGATGTCGCCTCTGAGAGAGACCGATACTTTGCGCGTCGAAGTGCTTGCGGTCCAGGGTGGGGACGAAAGCGAAACGAACAAGTGAACGTCAGGTCAAGCGGGCACCGTCACACCAGAGTTCAAAGAGGGATGCGCGACAGCGCTCTCGCCAGCAGCCTGGAGCTCTTGCTGCTCATCCCTCTTTTCTTCTAGCTAGGGTTGTTCCCCACCTCGGCCTGCTCCCCTAACCAGGCTTGCTCTGGCTAGGCTTGTTTCCCCGCTCCTTCAGCCGACGTCTTGGGTCGTCTATCAGCTGAGCCGTCTCTTGGCTCCGAGGCGATCGGGTTGGTTGGTTGGTTGGCTGGCTTGTCGGTTGGTTGTGCGGTTGGTTCGTTGGTTGGTTGGTGGTCGGTTGGTTGGTCGGTTCGGTGGTTGGGTTGCTGGTTGCTCGCTTGCCCGGGTGGTTGGCTGGTTCTCCCCCTTTTCCCCCTTCCCTTATTCCACTTTCCTTCCTCCTGACTCCTCCTCTTCGTGTTTCCCTCCCCCCTTCGCCCGCAATGTATTGCAATGCAATGTATTCATATTGCAATACGAGTGTAACGCAGCGAAGTACAGTGCAACCCAACAGGATGCAATGCAACGCAACGTCAGGCAACGCAATGCAATTCGCACGAAGATGCAACGCAATGCAGTTCAACATGGTGGAGGTCCCAGTGTCCACCCAAGAAATCCGAACGGACCTCTGAAAGTTTATGTTTCGGAAGGCGCTGTGCTCCAACGCATGACAGCTATAGGTACAGTCTGGGGAGATGACAGCCCAAATCCAGGGGACGCTTGGCGTCAAACACGGGCAACGCACGGAGTGAACTTCATGCGACGATGTGGCCCACGCGGATATACAGTTAACGCGTTGGAGTAATGTCCAATTGGGTTTCGAAAGAGGTTCAATGTTCCTTAGGTCCCTCCATGGGTCTTCCCATCTCCCCGGGCCCAGCTGGAGCCCCAATGGATTTTTGTCTCCTCCATGCTGTCCGTTCAGGCGCAGTGCAGATATAGGAACAGTACGAGTCATGGAGTGGCCGTCCGTTCTGCGATCGTGGAGGTCTGCCGCGCTGTATCGCATCGTGGCCAATGCACACATTGTGCAACGCCGTTGCTTAGACCTCGGTGGTTGGCCAACGCGTAGCCTCTGGGCGCGTCGGGCTGGTCACCAGCGCCGTCTTGCCGCACTCGGCCGCCGCCACGAATTTGGTGGGCGGCTTGCCGCGGCGTCGAGCGTCCCGACGCCGCTTCGAGGAAGGAGACAGGATGATGATTGATTCCCATGATAGCGTAGGGGAAAGGATCTGATGAGAAACGGAGGGGGGATGCTGGAGAATGGGGATTCGGAGTTTCCTAGAATATTCTTGTAGCCACAATCCACGTGGCCAGGACTGAGGATGAGGATCGGAGGCGGATCAGAAGGAGGGATCATGGATGGAGAACGCAGGGGAGCGCCAAGAAGTATGAGGGGCAGTGGGGAGTCGATATATATATATATATATATATATATATACAGAGAGAGAGAGAGAGAAAGAGAGAGAGAGAGAAAGAGAGAGAGAGTGTGACAGAGAGAGAGAGCGAGAGGAATGATGGATGGGGTGGGTGAGAGGGGGAGGCGACGGCGGAGGAGGATGGACCGGGCGCGGCGGGGGATGAGGTGGGCGGGGGAAGGAGGAGGAGGGGAGACCAGGATTGGGGCGATCATGCGGAAGGAGGGAAAGGGACCTGCGCCTCGCGGCCCGGGCCGGGCGGGCGGGCGGCCCGAGCGGGCCTCCAAGAGGGCAAGGAGCAAGCAATGGCGAAGCGTCGTGGCTTGCCTGTAGGCCTGAAACGGCGCGAAGATCGGGACAAAATCGGATCGGGATAACTCGAACTCTCTGAGAATCGGCGGGTTTGGAGGATGCATTGGGCGCCGCGTCCGCTCCAGAGCGTTCCGGAACGCTCTGAGAGCGCTCCGGAACGCTCTGGAGCGATTTATCCCGATCCTAGCTCTGTTTTAAGGCCCGCCAGAGAATGCTCTAAGAGCCTTATGTGGTCTGCACGAAATGTTCTTCGACCACTTCTGGCCGGGCCTGTTTTGTTTTGACACATCAGGTTTATATTCTAAGAACATTTGTGTTTGTTCTTAGAACACGTTGTAGCAGGCCTATAGGAATGCTGGGACGGTCGTTCCCTTCTCAAGAAGGAAGGGAGGGCAGGGGAGGGGGAAGAACGATGGGAGCAGGTAGGGCAGAGGGGTGAGGGGAGAGATGCGGGTGGAGGTCGGGTCGAGGCAGGCATGATGTAGCGAGGAAGAGTCTGGGCCTTCCGATTAGATAAGGTCGAAGCTTCGTTACGCATCGCCGATGCATTGGCGATGCGGTTCGATGTGGAGCCCGATGTTCTGCACGCCGCCGTCGCCGATGCATCTCTGAAGTCACCGATGTATCGCCGATGCATCGTTGACCCCCTCTGCTCCGACCCCATGTGGGTGGCCTCTGGAGGTGCAGAGGATTCAGGGACAAGTGGAGGATCCGAAGCAGAAGTAGCTCCGTAGGCAAAATTCTTTTTCTTGACACTCCGTGCAGGTTCCTTTTGGATCGGCGCCCCCCTGGCAGAGCCTCCTGGCGACGCCGCAGGCGGCAGGGGCACCTCACCTTGCAGGCTGCGCGCTCTCCCATGCGCATGCAAGAGATGCTTCGGTAGCAAGTCATGGGAGCCTGGTGTACCCTTTCAATTCCGTCTTTAGCGTCGGTTAGCGTCGATTAGCGTCTGGGGGTCGATGAGAGAACGCCGATTTAGCGTCAATTAGCGTCGGTTAGCGTCGATTTAGCGTCGATTAGCGTCGACGAGAGTCGATTAGCGTCGATTCGCAAGAGCCGACAAGATGGTATGGGAGGCTCCCATGAGTTGCCACCGAAAGATGCTTTGCCATGCGTCTAGTCCATGGCTGCTTTTGGCACAGCAGCGGGCAACGCGCCCCTGCCCTGCGTGCACTTCCCCCTCTTCGGCCCTCTGAGGCCGGTCTTTTCAGAATCGTTACTCAGCCCACGGCAGGAGACAACGGAGCGCGACTACAAATACGAAGCCCTGCCATCCCAGGGATGATGCGCCCCGATGTGTCCGTCATGGTCACATCGGAATCGCGTCGTTTAATCCATCTGACATGTCGAGTATGTTGTATGCCTCTCCAGTCGGTGTTTTTGATGTCGTGCCAACATATAGGCAGTAGTTGGTACCTTCCGATCGTATAGCGATCTAATGATGACGAGGCGGATACTGGTGATGACGATGCTTACGATTGAATCGTACAATTGTATTGGATACTTCGGTGATGCTTTTGTTCGGAAATCTGCTATAGCTATATTTGACACAGTGGCTCACACCACTTTTATTCTAGAGTATGCTCAGGAAGCGTCATATCCTGAGAGTGGGCTCTTCTTATTATTTATTCGCCTCCAGATCCCTTTCTCCTCCTCGTCTTCCTTTCCTTGCTCAGATCACTCCCATACTCGCATCCTCCTCTTGCTTCTCGTCTTCCTCCTCCTCAGTCAGACTGCTCACATACTCTGATCTCCTTATGACCCCATCACGCTCAGATCACTCACACCCAACTCATACTCATATCACGCCCCTTCCTCCCTCATCCACATCACACTCAGACTCACGCATGCTCGGACTCGCTCACACTCGGAATCACTCGTCCACATCCAGACTCGGTCACATCACTTCTTCACTCAGACTCACTCGTGCTCATAATCACTTAGAGTCCGCGACAGCAGGCGTTGCACTTGACCACTCCGGGGGGGGGGGGGGGGCAGGGATGGTGGCACTCCATGGTTCGTGCCCAATTTGTGTGGGATGCCTCAGGAGGTTTGCTTGCTTGCATTCCAGACTTTTCTCCGTTGGTGGTCCACTGCTCACCGCGGTACAGCAGGCGTGGTACTTGGGCACCCCCGAGGGGGGGGGCAGGTATGGGGACACTACAGGATTCGCGCCCAGGTTCTGGGGGCATCTCAGGCGGTTTGCTTACTTTGGCCTCCAAGACCTTTCTCTTGTGGTGGTCCAGTGCTCATCGTGATCTAGCAGGCGTGGTTGCACTTGGTCACCACAAGGGGAGGCGCCAGGGGTCAGTACACTCCAGGACTCACGCCCAGATTGTGGGGATGTCTCAGGCGGTTTGCTTGTTTTTGCCTCCAGCTCTTTCTCTCTTTGGGCAACTCTGGGGAGGGAGGGGGGGAGGAGGAGAAGGAGGGAGAGGAGGAGAAGGAGGGGGAGGGGGAGGAGGAAAAGGAAAAGGAGGATGAGGAGAAGGCGGAGGAAGAGGAGGGAGGAGAAGGAGGAGGGAGACGGAGGACCAGTGTAAACCCAAGAGTCATCAACGATTGTGGAATAGACCCTCCCTCCAAACTCCCTCCTCATAGTTCCCTGCAACGCTTCATTTCCACAGGGAATTGCCTCGTTGGAAGACGGCCGTTTGAAGACCCTGAAGCATGCCGAAACACCACGGCACGGAGCAACCTGGTTGTTGCGCCTTGACGATTTTGAATCGTGCCAGAACGCCATTCCTGGGACTTCAACACCGCGAACCAATGTAATTGTTGCAACTTCATAATCCAGAATCATTCCAATACGCCGTTTCTGGTGCGCTGATCATGGGGATCCGTGCAACTCTTGCAACTGTTGAAAAAACGAATGCGCGCGGCGCTAAGGCGAGAGCCTGTGGTTGTCATCCCCATGTCAGCTCCTCCTCCTGCGCCACTCTCTGAACTCCCTTGTGCGCCGCCATATCGGTTCACAAGGGCCCTAGCGTTATCTCGGCACGCAGGCGACGGGTGCGCCCCTGGCCCCCGCAGAAGGAAGGATCACGTGCTCTCTCGCAGCACGGGCCCCCTGATTGTACTCCGTTCTTCCCCGTATTCTATACAGTTGCTCTGGTACATTCTACAGTGGCAGCGGAACTTGTGGCTGAGGTCCACGAGGGGAGTCAGGACGACTCCCCTGTCATTCGATTCTCGGGTGACAAGCTCTCTGCTCTTGTCCCGTTTTTCGCGCTCCCTGC